TCCTTGCCCAACCCCCCTGGGACCCCCATCCCTGCCCCAAAATACCTGGGGGGCTTTGCCCCACCCTGCCCACTCCACAGGGGATCAATCATTTTCCTCCACCATCCAGGATTTACTGGAGTTTCTTCCTCCTTCCTTGAGCATTTCTTGGGATTTCTTTCCTTTTTTATTTCCTTTTTTATTTATTTTTCTGGGAACAGCTTGTACCGACCTGGCCATAAAAACAAGGCTCTGGGTTCCTCTGGGTGTTGTTTTCTCTTCTTTTCTCTTCCCCCTCCCCCCCCCCATTCCTGGGATAAATATCAGTGAAAATGGAAAAAAACCAAAACCCACAACCCACTTTTCTCCCTTGTGCCATTTTCTTCCCTCCTTGGGTTTTTGAGAGTGTTGAGGAAAAAGGTGGAAAAATCCAAGATGGGGAAAAAAAACAACCAACCCCCCAACAACCCCAAGTGAACCAGCTTGGGGGGAACTGAACCTTCCTGCAGATGTTCCTGCAGGAGCAGAGCTCCCTGTGGTGGGAATTCTGACACCATCCCCTGCCCCCCGGGGGGTCTCACCTGGCTGGGCTCCCAAGCACAACCTGCACCAGCCCTTGGGGGAAAAGCTCATCAAAAACCATCTGGCTTCCCCAAATCCCTGTGGTTCTCCTTGGCTGAGGGATCAGGACGTGGAAATCGTGGAATCCTCCAGGTGGAAAAGACCTCCAGGATCACCCAGCCCAACCATGAAACCAGCCCTGCCCCGTGTCCCTCAGCACCATCTCCAGGGCTTGGAAACCCCTCCAGGGATGGGGACTCCCCCCCTGCCCTGGGCAGCCTGGGCCAGGCCCTGACAACCCTTGCCAGGGAGAAATTGTTCCCCAGATCCAACCTCAACCTCCCCTGGCACAACTTGAGGCCGTTCCCTCTTGTCCTGTCGCTTGTTCCTGGGGAGCAGAGCCCGACCCCCCTGGCTCCAACCTCCTCTCAGCAGCTGCAGAGCCAGCAGGTCTCCCCTCAGCCTCCTTTGCTCCAGGCTGGACACCCCCAGCTCCCTCAGCTGCTCCTCACAAGTTCTCCAGCCCCTTCTCCTCCTGCTCCAGCCCCTTCCCCAGCTCCGGGGCCCTTCCCTGGACACGCTCCAGCCCCTCCATGTCCTTCTTGTCCTGAGGGGCCCAGCCCTGCCCCCAGGACTCCAGGTGCCCCCTCCCCAGTGCCCAGCACAGGGGCACCATCCCTGCCCTGCTCCTGCTGCCCACCCTGGGGTGACACCAGCCAGGATGCTGGTGGCCAAAGCACGTGCAGTTGGACTGCCCAGTGAGCCAGATGAGCTGAGCAAGTGGCAGGTTCAGGGTTTGCCACGTCAGGCAAATGTTCTGGCCCACACGTGGGCCAATATTTTGGTCTCAGGCCTTCCCAGTCCCCCCTGCACAGGCTCCCACAGCAGCTCCTGCTGCTTCAGCTCCCTCAGCTGCCTCATCCCTGAAGAACCTTGGCCAAACCCATTCACAATAGGTTTCTTTTCAGTGGCTCCTATTTTTGGGGTTAATCTCCAGCCAAGAGATGGGCTCTGGGCTCAGGCCAGGGAGAATTCCTGACCCAGAGCCAACCCCATGGAATTCAGTGGGATTGAATCTCAATCTTTCCCTCTTATTTCTCTATTTATGAAAGACAATGAGGAAATGGTACAGATGAACATCAAGGTTCAAGGTTCCTACAGTTAACTTTCCTTCATCTCTCCTGGGAATGTTCAGCCTTCACTGATGCTAAATTCCATTCCCTTTTTTAGCTGCTTTCTCCAGGAATGGGTCTTGTGTCACCCCACCCTGCAATCATCTGCCTGCTCCCCTACAATTAACTGCCCAAACACCCACTCCAGGAAGATGATAACCTTCCTGAAGTTCTTGCCAACACCAGAACAGCCGGGCTGGGGAGTGTGTCCCCCCTGCAGGGACAGGCTTGAGGGCCCAGCTGCAGGTGGCAGAGGCTGGTGGCAAGGAAGGGACAGTGTGGCTGCTGCTTGTGGCTGCCCCATCCCTGGCAGTGCTGAAGGGCAGGTTGGATGGGGCTTGGAGCAGCCTGGGCTGCTGGGAGGTGTCCCTGCCCATGCAGGGAGGTGGGACTAGATGATCTTGAAGGTCCCTCCCAACCCAAACCATTCCATGATTCTGTGATTCTTGCTTTTTCAAACTGGGTGACACTGCAGGGAGGAGTGGGAATTGTTGGAGGAGGAATAAGAGGGGCAGGATTCTGGAGGACAGCAGAACCTTGCTGACTAGCTCTGCAGGCAGGTGCAGCTCATGGAGCAGCATCTCCACATGTGTCCAGAAGACGTGGGGAACTATGGAACATGGACACAAATGTCCCTCTGGTGAAGAGCAGCAGGAGGGTCAGCACAACAAACTGCTGCCAGGGCAGCACATCCCTGCTCCACCACCCACTGCAGCTCCTGCTCTTCCTCCACCAGGGCTGATGAGCTGCTCCCTCACAGTGACAGCCAAGCCTGGTGACAGGTTACAGAGTCAGAGTGATGTGGGGTTGGAAGGCACCTCTGGAGACCATCCATCCAACCCCCCAGAGCAGGATCCCTCCTGCAGGTCCCACAGGAACCTCCAGAGGGGCTGGGCTGTCTCCAGAGAAGGAGCCTCCACAGCCTCTCTGGGCAGCCTGGCCCAGGGCTCTGCCACCCTCCCAGGCAACAAGTTCCTCCTCATGTTCAGCCTGACCCTCCTGTGCTCCAGCTGGTGCCCATGGCCCCTTGGCCTGTCCTTGGGCACTGCTGAGAAGAGACTGGTCCCCCCCTCCTGACACCCCTGGAGATCCTGCTCAGCCTTAAGGAGACCCCCCCTCAGTCTCCTCCTCTCCAGCTGAGCAGCCCCAGCTCCCTCAGCCTTTCCTCCCAGGCAGATGCTCCAGTCCCTTCATCATCTTAGTGGCTTGTACTGGACTCTCCAGTAGCTCCTTGTCCTTCATCAACTGGGGAGCCCAGAACTGGACCCAGTTCTCCAGATGTGGCCTCACCAGAGCAGCAGGGCAGGAGAACCTCCCTCAACTTGCTGCCCACACTCCTTGATGCCCCCCAGGAGCCCATTGCCCTTCTTGGCCACCAGGGCACGTTGTTGGCTCTTGGCCACCCTCTTGTCCATGAGGACTCCAGGGTCCTTCTCCCCCCAGCTCCAGCAGGTCCCCCCACCCTGCTCTGATCCATGGGGCTGTTCCTCCCCAGCTGCAGCATTTTACAGTTGCCCTTGTTGAACCTCATCAGGTTCCTCTCTGCCCAGCTCCCCAGGCTTCCCAGGACTCCAGACAGCGGTCCAGTCCTCTGGAGTGTCACCACCCCTCCCAGTTTGGTGTCACCAGTAGACCTGCTGAGGGGACACTCCATCCCTTTTCCAGGCCATTCATGAATATATTGAGCAGGGCTGGAACAGGTTGCCTGTGTTCATCCTTGGTGGCTTTTAGGACCTGGCTGGATGAAGCCCTGAGTTACCTGGTTTGGCCTCACAACTGCCCCTGCTTTGACCAGGAGGTTGGACCAGAGACCTCCTGAAGCCTGTTCAAACCAAAATATGCCATGATCCTACACATGTTCCTCTCCTGGCATCACAGAACCACAGAATGGCTTCGGAAGGACCCTCAAAGCTCATCCAGCCCAACCCCCCTGCCATGAGCAGGGACACCTCCAACTAGATGTGCTTGCTCAGACCCTTGTCTAGCCTAACCTGGAATGTTTCCAGGGATGGGGCAACTCCCACCTCTCTGGGCAACCTGGGCCAGATGACTTCAAGGCAGGAGCCATGAGGAAGGCTTTGGGATTGAGCCAGGAGGACCAACAACCACACAAGCTGATTTCCACCAGTTCTCACCAGAGCTCAGTTGCCAACAGTACCTGAACCTGAACCACCCCACTGGGTGCTGGTACCTCCCAGTGCCTTCCCTACAGAGCAGACCTGGGTCCTTTAAGGTGGGAGCTCTTCGATTCCACACCCCCAGGAACACGAGGGATGGGACAGGAGGGCAGAGGTTAAATCGTGAAAGGGAAATGTCCAAAATGCTGAACAGAGACACCAGGGGACACAACCCCACTGGTGAAAGGGACAACTCAATGACTGAAGGTCTCCCCTCAGCCTCCTTTGCTCCAGGCTGGGCACCCCCAGCTCCCTCAGCTGCTCCTCACAAGTTCTCCAGCCCCTTCTCCTCCTGCTCCAGCCCCTTCCCCAGCTCCGGGGCCCTTCCCTGGACACGCTCCAGCCCCTCCAGGTCCTTCTTGTCCTGAGGGGCCCAGACCTGCCACCAGAAGAGCCACCAGAAGTAGGTGACAAGAACCAGTGGAGACAAAGGGAAACACAGAAATTCAAACCCAAGAGGTGAAAGCAAAGAGCAAATCCCAACTGATGCTGAAGGCGAAGGAGCCTGGTCCCTGTCTGAGCCTGACAGCTCAGGGGGTCAGGCTTCCTGAGAACCAAAGTGCTCCTAGGCCAGGAGCTGGTTGGAGCTGTGGAACTCACCTCCATCCAGCAGCAGCTTGACAGTCAGGTAGTCATCAGCCAGCACAGCATAGTGCAGGGCTGTGCAGCCCTTGAAGTTGGCTCGGATGTTGAGGCGGTTGCTGAAATCGTCCTCCCGGGTCACCAGGACTGCAGGGGGAGAAGAATGAGAAAGCTCAGCTCAAGGAGACCAAGCAACTGCTGGTCTGAACAGGCACCACCAGCATGGACCCACCACCCTGGGGCTGGGAGCTTGGAAAGGACTTAATGGAAGTGAAGACAACACCCTTCTGCAACCCCCAGTGATTGTCTTCACAGCACCCAGGCAGGGCAGGAGGTGACTGGAGAAAGCCCAGGACAAGATCCCTCCCCTTGGAGAGGGGAGATTTAGGTTGGACATGAGGAGGGAATTCTGTGCTGTGAGGGTGGGGAGAGCCTGGCCCAGGTTGCCCAGGGAAGCTGTGGCTGCCCCATCCCTGGGGGTGTTGAAGGGCAGGTTGGATGGGGCTTGGAGCAGCCTGGGCTGCTGGGAGGTGTCCTTGCCCATGCAGGGGGTTGGAACCTGATGAACTTGAAGGTCCCTTCCAACCCAAACCAGTCTGGGACTCTCTTGGCTATGGCTTGTAGGGTTTGGTGCTTTGTGCTTCCAGCCTTAATTAGATCTAATCTGCTGGGGTCGTGTTCTGGCTGGGGGAAGAGGGTGGTGGGGAGGAAGCCCTGAGTGGTTGTTCTCCAGCTCTTGAGGGCAGTAAAAGGGAAAAAAAAAAAGGCAGCAGCCTCTGGATGGATTCTTTGTGCTGAATCCTGATCTCACTGTGGTGCAAAGAGGCTGTGGCTGGAATCACAGAATCCCAGCCTGGGCATGACCCTTCTCCTCAACCTTGGGAGATGAAGAAGCCCTGCAAACCAAACCACACCACCCAAGTGATCACAGGATCATTAAGCTTGGAAAAGGCCTCTAAAATCATCAAGTCCACCCACCAACCCCAACTCACCACGCCAGGTGGTGGGGCTGGCAGGTGGTGTCTGCTGCTGCATGCCCTCCACCCAACTGGTGGGCCAAGTCCTGCTCCTGGAGGTGTACTCAGCTCCCAGGTGGACAGGTACCTAACCAAAACTCAGCAAACCCACCACGTCCAGGGCCTTCAGAAGGGTCTCTGAGCACCTAAAGCCCCCAACAGCAACCCCTGCAGACCCGGACGGTGGAACCTCCTGCAGGGCCCTTTCCACGTCCCCTCCTCAGATTTGAAAAGTTCAGAAGAGAAAAAAACAAATGCTGTCATGAAGACCTGCTGCTGTCCTGGCCCAGCATCTCCACTAATGAACCTCAGAACCTCCAGGAAGATCAATTAATGCCCTGGCTCCCTTCCCTTCCTGGGTCTCTTCTCCGAGCGCACCGGCCGAGTATGTATATTTATTTATCTGTCGTCATTTCCTACCCAGGGAGGAGCAGGATAATGAACTGCGTGCGTCAGGGAAGATGAATCTGAGATACTAGGGAGCAGTGCAGTAAAGAGATTAAAGTGTTATTATTGTTGGGGTTTTTTTTCCCCCATGGTCTGTTGTGACAGCTCGGCCGTCAGCTGTAAAAAATGTCTGGGAGAGAGATAATCATCGGAAACTCAATAAAGCGTCAGGGGGAGCCTGCTCTGCCATCCATCACTGGGGGCCTGGAAATTTTCAGCCCTCTGTCTCCCTTCCTGCCATCCATATAAATGTCTGCAATATATTTTTCTGCAGGGTTTGGTGGAGCAGCCCCCTCGGTCTGGATTGGGGAGGGGGGGTGTGTGTGTGTGGGGTTTTTTTATGACAAAATATGTAGAGGCGGAATATGTAAATGGGGAGGGGGGAATAAGAGAGGGCAGGGAAAAACAAAGGCAGTTTTTTCTCTCTCTCTGCCTCTCTTTTTAAAAATGCAACTGAATTTATTCTTTTTAATAAAACATGTCAAGCAAAGAATTAATGCAACTTCTTCCTGAGAGGTCTTATCTTTCCTTCCCCCTCAAAAATATATGTAACATTCTGGAGGGATGAATGCAGACAAAAACAATTGGCTTTATTGGTTGATCTCCTTTGTCTTAAATAAAGTCTGGGCCATGCAGGATGGGTTGGCATTCCAGAGCTCAGGCTGTCCTGGTGCTCCATGCATTCTGCATGCACTGCTCCAGCAACCTGATCTCTGGATGTCCTCACCTCCAGCAGCCCTGTCGCCCGGCCGGGCACAGGGAGGGATGAGAGCAGAGAGCTTGGAAAGATAAAACAGGGCCCTGTCAAAACTGTCCCCTCAATGCTCCATCTTCTGTGGTTTATGGCAGATTCAAACCTTACACCCTCAGCAGCCTCCAGCTCCTGGGGCTGAGGCAAAAAGCAGATGGATCACGTCGCCACCTTGTTTTGGTTCTGCAAACCATGGACAACCTGTGTGGCTTCCTCCAGTTTTCCCCTCCCAGCAGCTAGGAAAAGCTTTAACTTCAAATGATCACCCAGTTCCAACCCCCCTGCATGGGCAGGGACACCTCCCAGCAGCCCAGGCTGCTCCAAGCCCCATCCAACCTGCCCTTCAACACCCCCAGGGATGGGGCAGCCACAGCTTCCCTGGGCAACCTGGGCCAGGCTCTCCCCACCCTCACAGCCCAGAATTTCTCCCTCCCATCTCAGCTCCAGCTCCCTCTGCCAGCTGGAAACCCTTCCCCCTGCTCCCATCCCTCCCTGCCCTTGTCCCAAGCCCCTCCCCAGCTTTCCTGGAGCCCCTTCAGGCACTGGAAGCTGCTCTCAGGTCTCCCTGGAGCCTTCTCTTCTCCAGGCTGAACCCCCCATGTGTGTGTGGGGTTTTTTTATGACAAAATATGTAGAGGCGGAATATGTAAATGGGGAGGGGGGAATAAGAGAGGGCAGGGAAAAACAAAGGCAGTTTTTTCTCTCTCTCTGCCTCTCTTTTTAAAAATGCAACTGAATTTATTCTTTTTAATAAAACATGTCAAGCAAAGAATTAATGCAACTTCTTCCTGAGAGGTCTTATCTTTCCTTCCCCCTCAAAAATATATGTAACATTCTGGAGGGATGAATGCAGACAAAAACAATTGGCTTTATTGGTTGATCTCCTTTGTCTTAAATAAAGTCTGGGCCATGCAGGATGGGTTGGCATTCCAGAGCTCAGGCTGTCCTGGTGCTCCATGCATTCTGCATGCACTGCTCCAGCAACCTGATCTCTGGATGTCCTCACCTCCAGCAGCCCTGTCGCCCGGCCGGGCACAGGGAGGGATGAGAGCAGAGAGCTTGGAAAGATAAAACAGGGCCCTGTCAAAACTGTCCCCTCAATGCTCCATCTTCTGTGGTTTATGGCAGATTCAAACCTTACACCCTCAGCAGCCTCCAGCTCCTGGGGCTGAGGCAAAAAGCAGATGGATCACGTCGCCACCTTGTTTTGGTTCTGCAAACCATGGACAACCTGTGTGGCTTCCTCCAGTTTTCCCCTCCCAGCAGCTAGGAAAAGCTTTAACTTCAAATGATCACCCAGTTCCAACCCCCCTGCCATGGGCAGGGACACCTCCCAGCAGCCCAGGCTGCTCCAAGCCCCATCCAACCTGCCCTTCAACACCCCCAGGGATGGGGCAGCCACAGCTTCCCTGGGCAACCTGGGCCAGGCTCTCCCCACCCTCACAGCCCAGAATTTCTCCCTCCCATCTCAGCTCCAGCTCCCTCTGCCAGCTGGAAACCCTTCCCCCTGCTCCCATCCCTCCCTGCCCTTGTCCCAAGCCCCTCCCCAGCTTTCCTGGAGCCCCTTCAGGCCCTGGAAGCTGCTCTCAGCTCTCCCTGGAGCCTTCTCTTCTCCAGGCTGAACAGCCTCAACTCCTGTCACGTGGGATGGGATGTCATTCAGATCTAGAGCTCTGTGTTATGTCCTGGTTAGATCAAACCAGGTTATCTCTGGGATGGTGCAGAATTGCTTCTCAGACACATCCATGGAACCTTCTCTCTCCTCTCCAGACATGCACTCACCCACCCACCAGCAGTTACTCTGCATTTAAACAGAAGCTGACGCCAGATCTAAATAAAAAAATGAGGTCAAATTTCCATTTCAAAGCCAGGAAAGGACATTTTGGGAGCTGCAGCCCTGGTGGCTGCACACAACCCGTGTTACCTTCCAAAGAATGGAGGCCTTTTTCCTTGGCTGTCTCATAGACGTTGCTGAAATCGTCTCCAAGGTTGGGATCTGCCTTGGCTGCCAGCAGGACCTTCACCACGCTGTGAGAGCAGGACAAAACATCAGGCAGAGGCAGAATCTGAGTCACCAAAGCCCTTCAGAGACTGGGAGAGGAGACAGTGCTTGGAAAGCCCTCCCCAGACATCCCCAGCTAGGGATGGAAAGTTAAACCAGCAACCAGAACTGAACATCTCATAGAATCCCAGATCGGTTTGGGTTGGAGGGACCTTCAAGATCATCCAGTCCCACCACCCCTGCAATGAGCAGGGACACCTCCCAGCAGCCCAGGCTGCTCCAAGCCCCATCCAACCTGCCCATCAACACTGCCAGGGATGGGGCCTTCAGAACCATGTCTAAGTTCCCCCTGGGGCTGATCAGCATGGCAACACAAGCAGGACATCCCGTGGACACCTCTCCTCCATGCTGGGACTGAGGCTTTCAGTCTCCAGACCTGTGTCCCTGCTCCTTGCAAGGAGGTTAGATCCTGATGATCTTTTAAGGTCTCTTCCAACCTCAACCACTCCAGGACTGCAGGAAGTTCTCCCCAGGCTGCAGCAGGACAGCTCAGCAGGAGACACACAAGGGTTGGTGTGGAACTCCTCCCTCTCTGCTCCCACACCCCAACCACCACCAGGCAACAATTAGATTTCTCACCACCTCCAAAAACAGCTCGAAGGCAGTTAATTCTTAATTCTTATTAATTTTTCTCTTCCCAAGGTTCCAGCTTCCCATGACAACTAGACAGTAAGTGGGCAGGGAGCATTCATCAGGGGTGACAGGGCTGAGGGGCTGACAGCACCACAGACCCACTGACACGTGTCTCCAGGCTGGGTCCTGTCAAGTCACATTGAGAATTTCACTTCAGCTCCTCTCCCATTTAGCCCATAAACTCATTAGTGGAATCAAGGTGGTGGTTTTGTTCTGGGAATAGGGCACAAAGAGGTTGGCTCCTCCCTGGTCAGATCTTCACCATGGACTGAGCTGCTTCTGGGGAGCAAAATGCCAGGATGGGAGGCAGAAGAACCTCCCACCATGTCCTGCATGAGCACATGGAGCTCATCTATGCCCACATTGCAACTTGGTTCTGAAATATTTTGGGTGAGACACAAGGGATCTTGTTCATCAAACACCAACCACAGTTACAGGTTGGGTGGAGAATGGATCAAAAACAGCCCTGAGGAGAAGGACCTGGGGGTGATGGTGGATGAGAAGCTCAACATGAGCTGGAGCCCAGAACCCACCCGTGTCCTGGGCTGTGTCACCAGCAGCGTGAGCAGCAGGGCCAGGGAGGGGATTGTCCCCTCTGCTCTGCTCTGCTGAGACCCCCCTGCAGGGCTGGGAACAGCTCTGGGGTCCCCAGCACAGGGAGGACACGGAGCTGTTGGAGAGAGGCCAGAGGAGGCCCCGGAGATGCTGGGAGGGCTGGAGCAGCTCTGGAGCCAGGCTGGGAGAGTTGGGGTGTTGAGCCTGGAGAAGAGAAGGCTCCAGGGAGACCTCAGAGCAGCTTCCAGTGCCTGAAGGGGCTCCAGGAAAGCTGGGGAGGGGCCTGGGACAAGGGCAGGGAGGGATGGGAGCAGGGGGAAGGGTTTCCAGCTGGCAGAGGGAGCTGGAGCTGAGATGGGAGGGAGAAATTCTGGGCTGTGAGGGTGGGGAGAGCCTGGCCCAGGTTGCCCAGGGAAGCTGTGGCTGCCCCATCCCTGGGGGTGTTGAAGGGCAGGTTGGATGGGGCTTGGAGCAGCCTGGGCTGCTGGGAGGTGTCCCCGCCCACGCAGGGCAGTTGGGACCTGATGATCTTTAAGGTCTCTTCCAACCCAAACCACCATCAGTCTATGATTCTATGATACATTTCCAAGTCCATGTATCTTCCTCACGTCAAGGAGCAATGATCCCCAGCCCCAGGGCAGGACTTCAATCCACCACCCTGCAGCCCAGGGATGAGCTCTGGGCACGACTGAGCCACAAGACAACACAAAAGGGCTTGTGATTTCCTTGGTAACTCCATCCATCCTCCTGCCTGCTCTTAGTGATGCTGTGGAAATGAACATTCCTCCCAGGTGCTCCATCAGACATCACCTCCATGTGCTCTCCATGACTCCCAGGAAGCCCTTTCCTCTTCATCCATTGCACACACCTCTCTGCTCAACCATTTTTCATGAGGAGTTGAGTAGAGGAGCACAAATGCTCAACACGAGGTGGTCTGGGAGTGAAAGTGGGAGGTGATGAGGAGCCATCAAATTCAGCCAAGAGCCAACAACGTGCCCTGGTGGCCAAGAAGGCCAGTGGGCTCTGGGGGGGCATCAAGAAGAGTGTGGGCAGCAAGTTGAGGGAGGATCTCCTGCCCTGCTGCTCTGGTGAGGCCACAGCTGGAGAACTGGGACAAGTCCTGGGCTCCCCAGTTGATGAAGGACAAGGAACTACTGGAGAGAGCCCAGGGCAGGGACCCCAAGGTGCTGAGGGGCTGGAGCATCTGCCTGGGAGGAAAGGCTGAGGGAGCTGGGGCTGTTCAGCTGGAGAGGAGGAAACTGAGGGGGGGTCTCCTCAAGGCTGAGCAGGATCTCCAGGGGGTCAGCAGGGGGGGACCAGTCTCTTCTCAGCAGTGCCCAGGGACAGGCCAAGGGGCCATGGGCACCAGCTGGAGCACAGGAGGGTCAGGCTGAACATGAGGAGGAACTTGTTGCCTGGGAGGGTGGCAGAGCCCTGGGCCAGGCTGCCCAGAGAGGCTGTGGAGGCTCCTTCTCTGGAGACATCCCAGCCCCTCTGGAGGTTCCTGTGGGACCTGCTGGAGGGATCCTGCTCTGGGGGGTTGGATGGGGGATCTCCAGAGGTGCCTTCCAACCCCACATCACTCTGTGACTCAGAGCAGTGCTCTGCTCTGTTAATGACCCTCCACACCATCTCCTGCTGGTGATAAGAAACTTCTCCTTAGCTCTCAGGATTGCTGGGAGGCTCCAGTTGGATGTCCATGGACTTCAGCTCCCAAAGCCTGGCCCTGCTCAGGAAGGACTCACTGGTCTCAGAACAAGGCCTCGCACACTCACCCACCCTCCCCAATCATCTTTCAATCTCACCTCCTGCTTCTGGGACGTGATGTCCCCTGCAGGCACTTCTGCACCAGGCAGATGTTCCTGGAATCAGAAGTATTGATCCCACCTGTCCAATTTGCAGGTAATGGGACATTCAAGCTCATCAGCCTTTGGGGGAGGAAACGGTGCCATCGAGACCCAGTCCCTGAGCGTGAAGGGCATGGGAATAAACAAGGGGCTGGAAACACCAGGTGAGGGTCACCAAGCATGGTCCAACAGCCCAGTCCCTGGGTAAAAAGCTCAGGTTTCCCAGGAGGAATGACAGACTCACAGACTGGTTTGGGTTGGAAGGGGCCTCAAAGCTCACCCAGTGCCCCCCTGCATGGGCAGGGACACCTCCCAGCAGCCCAGGCTGCTCCAAGCCCCATCCAACCTGCCCTTCAACACCCCCAGGGATGGGGCAGCCACAACTTCTCTGGGCAACCTGGGCCAGGCTCTCCCCACCCTCACAGCCCAGAATTTCTCCCTCCCATCTCAGCTCCAGCTCCCTCTGCCAGCTGGAAACCCTTCCCCCTGCTCCCATCCCTCCCTGCCCTTGTCCCAAGCCCCTCCCCAGCTTTCCTGGAGCCCCTTCAGGCCCTGGAAGCTGCTCTCAGGTCTCCTCAGACTGTCCAATTCATTAGGCAATTAAAGAAGCTCTGGTGAAGGTGCTACAGAAGGCAGATGGCATCTTTCTCTGTTGCATTCTCAGCCAGTATTTACTAATAAAAAGGAAGGGTCTAAACCACAGAATCACAGACTTAGGTTGGAAAAACCCTTTAAGATCACCCAGTCCAACCATGAAACCAGCCCTGCCCCGTGTCCCTCAGCACCATCTCCAGGGCTTGGAAACCCCTCCAGGGATGGGGACTCCCCCCCTGCCCTGGGCAGCCTGGGCCAGGCCCTGACAACCCCTGCCAGGAAGGAATTGTCTCTAACATCCCATCTAAACCTCCCCTGGCACAACGTGGCTCCTGCTTCCTTCCTCCACCAAACTCCCAGAGGGAAGGGACACCAAGGGACACCAGCAGGTCCGAGCTGGCCCAGGACAGCAGGTTTCCCTCCACAACTGTGCTCAGCAGCCTCGAGTTTTAAACTTGCTGCTCAAGTTTCTCTTCAGATGAGAGGCAGGGACTGTTCATCAGCACGAGCAGCAACCCCAGGGGAGCTGGGGCTGAGCTGGGGGTGGCCGGGCAGCTCCATCGATCGCACAACTGCTAAACAAACAAACCTCCAGCTACAATACAGGGGGTGGGACAATCAATGAGGAGGTGGTTGGTGGTGGCTGGAGCCAGGGTCTGGCAGCTGGGGTTGGTGAAGCAAGAAGCCCAGTGATCCCCATGACCGTCAGCACAGAGCACAATGCTGGGCTGGTCACTGTTTGATCTGCGACTGCCCCCCAGCTCTGGCCGGAGCCACCAGCCCTGCCTGGACACAAAGGACATCCCCTCACTCTCTGTGAAACTCAGCAGGGGCAGGAGGGCTGGGGGAGCTGCTCTTGACATTTCTGTTCTCTCCTGTTTGGTTTTTTTTTAATCTTAGATGAGGTCTAAATTGTTTGGTTTGGAGGAGGCTGAGGGGAGACCTCAGTGCTCTGCAGCTCCCCGAGAGGAGGTTGGGGTGAGGTGGGTGTTGAACTCTTCTCCCAAGGGAATAACAAAAGGACTAGAGGAAATGACCTCAAGTTGAGCCAGGGGAGCTTCAGACTGGACATTAGGAAGAATTTCCTTACTGGAAGAGTGGTCAGGCCCTGGCACAGGCTGCTCAGGGAGGTGGAGGAGTCCCCATCCCTGGAGGTGTTCCAGAAACGTGTAGATGTGGCACTTCAGGGCACACTCTGGTGGGCACGGGGGGGTTTCTGTGTGTTGTTAAGTTTTGTGGGGTGTCTGGTTGTGGGGGTTTTCTTGTTTGGTTTTGTTGTTCTTTGTTTGGGTGGGTTTGTTGTTTTGCCCCTCCAGGTGGATGGTTGGACCTGGTGA